CTATATGAACGAACTTTAGACCCAATCCATTGAATTTTTTGTGTAGCGCATATCTTATTACGTATGTGATTAGCAACGTGGTAGCAAATAAATTGCATTTTCTGACGAATAGCAGCGCTAAGATAGCTAGCCGCAGCCAGTTATCGAAATAAATGTACAGCAGCAAGTTGCATATTGAAGTGAGACTACTGTTTCTATACTGTAATTTTATCTTGTTTCGATGGCATATGCATTTTTTGTCTACACCAAACACAGATATATCCCTTTGAATGAGCTAACATTTCCATCATGATGAAAAACCTAGCACGAAAAACTTTTAAAGTTAAAAAACACGTTTAAACTAAAGTAAATCGTTTTCATTTAAAAGTCGATCAAATATAGTTAGTTAACAATATCGATTTACATGAATGTAAACTATAAACATTTCTAAATGAAGTGTCCAAATTCTCGGTTTGTTGGATTGCAGAAACATTTATCCATGTTCAGTTAATAGCACGCAAATAATATTAATTATTATATAGCAAGCGTCACTTCTCGCTAAATGATGCACTTTCATTGGCTAATCATATAATAATCCTTTTAATAGCCTCGTTTCTCGGTCTTTACTGACGAAGTATTGGACCTCTGTCTTTTTGTATAAGCCTCGCCCTACGGGCTCGGTCTTTTAAAAACACCTCGGTTCATTATTTCTCTGTAAAGACCTGGGACTAGGTCATTAAGGGCTTAATAATGTTTACGATCAAGAAAAGCCAAATATACTGATATGAAATAGTATTATTAATCTATGTTCCCATCCTGTTACCTTAATATCATTGAAACATAAAGTTTATCATCATTCTACACAAAGAGATTCAAAGGATATAGTCATTATCTCATGTCATTTTTCTTTCATTAAACTAGAGCAGTTGGTAAGCATTAGATTAAAACAGGAGTTTATAAATTTTTGCGCATGAGCATCTGAAATTGTTAAACGAGATTCTATTATCCAGTTTAACTTTCCATTAATTGTGTAAAGGAAATGTGCAAACAAAGTGCTTTCCATAGGAAGCACAGGCATGAATATGTAAGAGTTTTGAAGGTGTAGGTGATTGTACCTTCTTCCTTGTTTTGATCAAAATCATAGACGCCATAACTGGAGATACCATTAGTATTGCCTTTCAAGTGAGAATCTTTATCAAATAACATCTTCCTCAAAATGTTTGGATCAAGAACACTTGAGAACGACAATTCTTTCACAAAGGTTTTTTTTCTCAAAATCTCTTTTAATTGTGCTGTGCTTTCTTTAGCCATTATCCAAAAGTTTTCAGGGTTAGCATGTGAATACTTGAAACAACAGGATTGAAAATAAACGAAAAAGCCAAGATAGTCATCCGGGGCTTTTGGATCACATAAAAAACGATTGTTAATGGGGAAATTCGTTTCTGTGTTCATTTTCGGTTCATATTTCTCATTTAATAATTCGTTGAATGCCAGATGTACAGAAGCCGCAATTGCTCCAGTTACTGTGCAGCCGTTACCTTTGCAAGCGTTAATAATTGACTTGGTTTCTTGCTCGGTAAATGTTCTCAAATTTATCCGCGCACGTTTTTCAGGAGGGATGTCAGCACGATGTAGAGGTGGGTGCTTTATGTAGTATGGATTGATTGGTTTCTTTTTAAAAGCATAAGACATCATTATTTTCAAAAGAAACTCCAATATTGGACGAAGTCTAAATTGAGAAACAATGAACCGAAACAAAGAATGACTGATTCTTTTTTGTATTACTAAGTTGTGCGCACTAGGTAATAGTTCGAGACTTTGTACATCTTTATTGACATTGGTGACACCACTTGATATCTCATTCATGTTTTTGAGAAATTGCTGAACGAACTTTATGCAAGCAATAGCATCAAGACAGGAATGGTTCATGGCAAACATTATCATATTTGAATATTCTTGTGTTGTTGAATCGAACTCTTCCTGAAGTATTACAGCTTTCCATGGCAAAGAGCTTTTATGTACGGTAGAGGTGTACTTGTACACTATATCTTTCCACTCAGAAATTTTTACATCGGACTTTGTGATATCAAATAACTGAATAGCATCATCGATATTTCTGATATCAAAATATCGTTCTCCGTCGTTGTTTGTCGATACCACTGCTCGTAACATTGGTTGACGTTTTACTAACAATACTAAAGCATCGTGAACATGTTCAAAAGATAAACTTTCTTTTGATGTTAATGTTATACAACACGATATATTTCCATGGCCATCAAATGAATGCGACATAATTTCAGTTAATGTCTCCAAGAAATCCAATCGTCTCCTATTTTGATTTCTGATTATGATTGTTGTTGAAGTAATCCATTTCAAGGCCTTCCATGTCAAAATAAGACAAAGAGTTGCAACAATTATTTGCAGAAACCAATTATTTATTGCTAAATTTATCGGAGCCATCTTTCGAATCCGAACAAGTGTGAAGGAAATCAAATTTCATGTGATTTTTTACCAAAGTGAAGCTGGCACCCACTGATCTGAAATAGACTGGATAACGCAATTAATACAAAATTTCTAGCAAAAATAGATGCCGGAAGTAAATCTGCCCGAATCGAAGTTGGGACCCACTTTTTTATAGATTTGTGTTACAGAATCAAGCTTTTTGCAATATTTTGCTATTTAAGCGTTTCTGATCGGGTCAATTTTCTTAACACAGTTGTGTTAGAAAGATAAGAAGAATATTTTGGACGAAAATTTACGGTTATTTCGACTTCACAATGCTGTGAAACTTTGATTCTCAAATTTGAAGGAGTGAGCAACCCTACAATACACAAACTTGTTCGAAATAAGACGAAGAATTTGTGTCTCAAAATCGATTTGAAATGTAGAATTTATGATGGTAGACGAATTTAGGGTAAAAGTTAGTTCAGTCAACCATTTGTATTCTTATCAGAAGCGAAAATGACGACTTGAATTTGGTAAGTCTTTAAAACCATACATAAAATCATATAAGTCTTCTTGGTCTGTTCTATATGTTAGTAAGTTATTTGTTGTTTATAAGAACGAGTTTGTGTTATCTTGATTAAAGTTTAACTGACATTTGTGAGGGTTATGAAGAATGTTTCAAACAAATACTGGCCACATGATTTGGGATTTCTTTTCAGCCAACTGAGCCAAAAAAACTATTTACACAGAAAACGTACTGGGATGTTTTGAGTATGGCCTGTGAGCACTGGTTTACTAATAAATAAATTTGGCAAGAAAAACAACTCCTAGGTCCAGGTCAGGTACCAATTTCGCTGCCTGGTCTTGCAGGATTTGAAAAGAATCCATAAGAACTTTTATGGTTCATGTATATTTCCCCACACCAGAGTGACCAGACCACAAAGTCCAAATTTATTCGATAACACCTTTCGCTTCTGATATAAATGTAGATGGTTGACAAACATTATTTCTACACTATCTTAGTCTAGGATCATTAAATCTGTATTTCGAATCGATATTCAGTGAAGAATCATACGCCTTATTCAGAAAAGGGTTGAATAACATCAAATTTGTTCACTCCTTCAAATTTGCGAATCAAGTTTCACAGCGTTTATAAACTCGTAATAACCGTAAATTTTCATCCAAAGTATCCTTTATATCTTTCTATAGTTGTGATAAGAAAACTGCCTCGATCAGAAACGCGTAAAAGGCAAAATATTGCAAAAACTGTGATTCTGTAATACAAATCTATAGAAAAGTGGGTTCTCAACTTCGATTCGGGCAGATTTACTTCCGACTTCAATTTTTGCTAGTAATTTTGTATTAGTTGCGTTATCCAGTTTATTTCAGATCAGTGAATTAGATGCGTTATCCAGTCTATTTCAGATCAGTGCTGGCACCACATTCGTAGCACCATTGAGTTCTATAATAACTGGAGCGGCTATCTCAAACACGGCTTTAATAGACCTTTTCAAGGTTATCGCAGCCATATTGCAGGGGGTGCAAAAACACGCATGGCGTGACCGCGCGCACGACGGTCAAGTTGTTCAAAGAAAACAAATGTTTTCTTTAACTTTCCGCTTTTTGATTACCACAAAATTGGACTCACGTGTATAAAACATTGCAAATAATAATTCGACTATTAAAATGGACGAGTTTGAGAAATATTTTTGAAAGAAATGGCCAATATGTATAAGGGTAATTTTTGCGCATTTATTAGTAATTTATATGGACGCCATGCGTGACCGCGCGCTCGGCCCAATGTTTTTGCACCCCCTGCAATATGGCTGCGACAACCTTGAAAAGGTCTATTAGCGGCTGACGCCAAAAAAATGGAGGACTTTTTTCATTACCGCTGAGATTTACTGAAATTGACTGCTTTTCCGAAAATCTCACAATTTCTCTCTCCCCCCTAGGGAAAGAGTGAAGAAAAAGTATATGTGTTTTTCGCATATTTAGCAAGCAAATTTATGATGAAAATAACTGTAAAAACTTAAATTTCATAAAAGCGAGTCTAGTGTGGTTACCAGTTGTCGGCTTCTACGACGGACGCCTTTTTTAACTATTGAGGAACGAGCTATTTGTTGGCCACATATGAATGCAGATGTGCGCGTCGTAACTGTCGTTTAATGATTTGCTCGGTCAAAGTTTGTAGTCTGCACGAAACAAGATATATCATATTTTATCTCAACGGATCACGAGAGAAATGTTAGCTCATTTATTCTCATTAGAATAGTAGCGAGAGACTTGCCGAGCGGAAATCGGATTCGTGTAATAAAAATTAATGCCCAACATGAAGTTCTGATTAGAGCCATAGAAATAGACCAAAAAATAAATTGTAAAATAAAATTTATTGTAACGTTTCGTCTTTACTCAAGACATCTTCAGACAAATAATAAATAAGATGTTAAGACAAGATATTATATTTACAAAAAGGTGTTAAATTACTACTAAAGGAGGCGGTGTCAAATGGATATATGATAAGGAAGTTAGGAAGTAAAATAAAGGGAAATTAAAAGAGGTTAAGTGGAATGGAGTTTCCTTGCACATAAAACGAAGGCTTGTGTTTATTGATTAGAAGGCTTTCATGAATGGGGAGTTCATAAGAATCGTTAGAAGACGAGATTATTTTAAAATCGTCTAAGCTGGGGGTGTGTCCAGTTGCGTTAATGTGAGCAAAAATGCTTGATAACGCAGGGTGGGAAACTTGGTTGCCTGTAAGGGGGGATATTCCCAAGAGCTACGAAAATCTGGTGTGTAGATGACGTGTGGTTTGACCCACATACGAGGCGTTGCAGCTTTGACACTTGAATAAATAGACTACACCAGATCTCAGAGGTTTGGGAATTTTGTCCTTAAAGGGGAAGAAAGAAGAGATATGTTGGGAAGGGCGGAAAACAAATTTAATAGATATATGTGGGAAGGCTGCAGTACAAAGGCTATTGATTTGTGTGCGAATTTGAAGGGAGTGTATGCCGGTGAAAGGAAGACAAATATAGATGGGCATTTTGTTAGCAGTCAAGGCAGGTGGTTTGGCGGCAAAGGTGTTGTTAAGGAAGCGACGTGTGACTTGGTCAATTATACGTGAAGAAAAACCGTTTTTGGTGAGTGACTTTCTGGTTAATTCGAGTTGTGTATGAAAATTATCGTAAGTAGAACAAAGGTTGAAGATGCGTTGAAGTAAGCAGGAGACTAGTGAAAGTTTGTAAGTAAGTGGGATGAAGCTGTGGAAGTTGGTGAAGAGGCCAGTGAAAGTAGGTTTGCGGTAGACGGAAGTGGTGAATTTTCCATTAGTGCGAGAGATATCAATGTCAAGAAATGAAAGCTTTCTGTTTTGTTCGACTTCAGTTGTGAAAGTGATGTTAGGGAGTTGTCGGTTCAGATAGTCAAGAAAGAGAGGGACGTGATCGGAGGAATGAAAAAGTAAAAAACAGTCTTCAACGTACCGTCGGTAAAGTAGTGGTTTGAAAGAAAAAGGACATTTATTCAGCCAGGATTGTTCGTGAAAGGACATGGATACACCACCTTAATAAAGAAGGTGGTGCATCCAAGTATTGCGAAATAAATTCATCCCGTATACTGCGGATCTTGTTCTGTTTTACTTATCATAAGAATGGCTAAGTTGTGCCACTAGTATGCTAAAAACTGCAAAACAATGGCGCACAAAATGTAAAGTAAAATACCAGTACACAGTGGGCACTAGACCATACCCCAAGATTTATATAATAAATTCCCGTGAAAATATTATTTAGCTATTTTGTATTACAAAGGTTTTGTACATTATCTCCTTTCCAAGATGACCACTCCTGGTAAAAATTTCGGCAAACGTTCGCTTTAACGTGAATTATTAGCACAACATTCTCCTGCAATACAACTCCCCATTAAATTTGTGAAAGTATCTTGCAGGCGTCAAGCAGAAGTCGCGCATGCGCAATGAAAAAAATGAGCTGCAATTTTGGCTGAGTGTTCCGTTTTCTATTCTGTGGTATAGGTATTATACAATATGCTCACTCTTGCAACTTGTTAATGCAATGTTAACACAATGTTAAGGCAATGCAAACTTGTTAATATGCAATGAATTTTGACCCCCCACTTTTTTTCCCTTTAACTAAAAATCCACAGTTTTAGAATCAATTTGATATATGAATAAGCATTTTCTTTTGAGTAGAAGTTAGTTAATTTTATCGCTGAATACGGACCAAATGTGCGAACTTTTCAAGTTTCTATTTTAATAAGCTATGACGTCACAAGTGAAAACGTTTTGTTTACGAACTACAGATTTATATGGCCGACGCCACATTCTTCTTCGTTTCCCTTTATTTTTTTGCTTGGAAAATGATTGCTTCTCTACGGTGGCCCACAAGTATCACGGCAAATTAAAAACTCACGGCAAATTAAAAACTCACGGCAAATTAAAAGTGATACTTTTGGGCCACCGTAGTGGCCCACAAGTATCACGGCAAATTAAAAACTCGCGGCAAATTAAAAACTCGTGGCAAATTAAAAACTCGCGGCAAATTGAAAACTCGCGGCAAATTAAAAACTCGCGGCAAATTAAAAACTCGCGGCAAATTAAAAACTCGCGGCAAATTAAAAACTCGCGGCAAATTGAAAACTCGCGGCAAATTAAAAACTCGCGGCAAATTAAAAACTCGCGGCAAATTTTTGACAATGTGGTGAACCGGGCAAATGCAAAATTGTTATATGTTTCCACTTCGAGGAGGGTAACTTTCTAGTTGAAACTTAGAGTTGTCGTTATTTCCATGTGGATTCGTGTGGGATTTCTTCTTAAACGATATTTGTTGTATCTATTTTAATGTTATATGCAATGATTATTATTTCGTGAAGTTGTGTACTGCAGCTGTTTACTGGTGGTGGCTATTAAATACGTTATAAAGTAAATGAGTAAGCCCAGACAGCCAAAAATTGGCCTGAATTTAAACTATTAGAGAAATTGAGGTACAGTATTGTAATATGAAATTTGAACAACGTCGATGAAATATGAAATGTCAAAGTGGAAAGCCACGCGCTCAAAAC